AGATAGGGAGGGCTGAGTGTTTATGATTTTCCCCTGCTGAAGCATGCGTTCGACCTAGTGGATCTTGTATGGGGTTTTCTCGTTTCAGAATGATAATTGGCTAATCTGATCCCTCTATATTTTATCTGTTAACAGGATAAACAAAGTGGATAGACCTTCTATTTCTAGAAATCCAAAGAGAGAGAAGGTGGCTGCTCGTGTGGTTTGACCTCTAGCTAAGAAGACTTACTCCTCTGTGATCCAGTCAGTAACCCTGAATGGTGAGAAAGAGAATAAACATGCAACACCTGTTATCTAGCAGGCACTTTTCACATAACTTCTCCTTTAATTTTAATAGCAATCCTTGACGCCCATGTTAATTCTAGTTTACTGGTGAGAAGCAAGAGGCTTTGAAATAACTTGCTTATGGTAGTCAACCAACCACTGGAGTTTACCAAGTCTAGGGCCTTGTGCTCCTCTCCATTATGCACCTAGCTCTAGTACCTACCAGATTCATCTTTTGAAGGGGACAAATCTTGCTCCGTTTCTCACTCTCTGTTTCCAGGAATGATTTCTCCTTCGTAATGGATCAGACGAGCCATTATTAAATCAAATCAGATCCTTTTATTCAAGGCAAATCCCTGTCTGTTGGGTGGGCAGGGTGAAAGTGCGAAGTGTTTATTCCATCATTCATTTGGTCTATTTAGAGCCCCTCATCCTAAAGCGGGAGTGGCCAGCTGCTTGCTGCTGTCTTTATACTCACTGAGGTTAGTGAAGGGGAGTGGTGCGGTGGTGGTGGTGGAGGGGGCTGTGATCTGAGGGGAGGCAGGCTGATGAACCGAGCTCCAGGTTTTAAACACACATTTGTCACTTCACGTGTTCAAAAGCTCCCTCTCAATGGTGCAATGACGTCACAGTGCTGTAGTGGCTACTGTGGCTCATGTGCGACTGCTATTGCCTGTATTACGCTGGAGGACTAGCAACGAGTGAAAAAGTTGCCTCAGCCCTGTTCTGAGTGGTGGCCATCAGGTGCAGAGAGCAGTCATAGGCTGGACGGTAAGGGGGCACAGCTAACTGGCCGCTCAGAACGCTTGAGTTCAGCCACTGGTCAGGGTGCCACTACCCGGCCAGCAGCCCATAGCTACCAACAATGAGGAAGATGGAGCCTCAGCATCCAAACCTGGTCCTGTTCCACCCACTTTAATCCTCTTGCTGTCCTTTCCTCCTTCCGTGAACCCCGCCACCCCTCCTGAACCTTGTTGTTCCTAAATCTGGTCCCACTTTTGCCAGCAGCAGTGGTGCCAACAGTTGTCATTGCTGCTGCCCAGAGGAATCAGCGTTTGAGGACCTGGAAAGGGAACCTGTCAAATCCACAGAGAGAATCCAGCTTTGGCAGATCCTTATATACTTAGGTCATTTTGATGTCCTTCAAAAAACACCTTCTGTTTAGACCTATTTTACAGCACTGTGCTACCACATGGCCCTCTTGCCTTCCTGCCAGGATGAGTCAATGCTAGTGAAGTGACTGTAGCCTTGAGGATTAGGGATAAATGCTCTGCAAAGCAGGCTACGGGCTTAATTCAGCATGGTGCTGGGGATGGGGAGGACCACTAGGCAAGAACTAGATCATGTCAAGCAAATCTGAATTCTGATCGCCAAGGTGAAATGATAGAGAGTTTCCTGGGTAGCTTTTAAAAATATAGTAAAAGTGACACAGAAGTTGGAGTAAAGGAGTCGACTTATTACATGCCTCTTTCAAACTCCCCCTAATACATGACTTTGAAGCACAATTGGCATCAAGGATAAGGAACAGAGTCAGTTTACCTAGAGATAGAGGAATAGTGCTCTCTGGAAGAACTAAAGAGGAAGAGCTCATCCATGAACAATATCAAACTTTGTAAAATATTTAAGATAGTTTATTCTGAGACAGATGTGAGTGACCTAGGTCTGTGACACTGTAGTTCCAAGAAGTCCTGAGAACATGTGGCTGAGGTGGCTGAGCCGTAGCTTGGCTATATACGTCTTAGAAAGACAGGGGTTACAAAAGCCACAAATCAGTTCATGTGAGATTTATACTGGTTCTGCCCGGAGGACAGGGGATCTCCAAGCAGGGCCTTGCATAGGTGGAGTCACAGATTTACTGTTTAAGGGATTCTGAAGTCAGCAAAGGAAATGCCCGTTGATAAGGTCATGGGGTGTTGAGGGGAACCTTCTTGATATGCAGATGAGGCCTCAATGGTGGCAACCCTGAGAGAGAATAAGTAGCAAATGTGTAGCTCCTTATGGATCCCTGGGGAGGAGATTCTATGCAGATGCAAATTTCTCCAAGAGGTGGCTTTGCAGGGTCATATAAGATTTTGATTTCCCTCTTTGTTATGTGATGTTAAGTCAGAGTCAGGTGGGAAAGTAAATGATATTACATATGGTTCGTGAAAACCGGCCTCCCCAGGCCCCTTAGTTAGGAATCTGGCAAGGGAAAGAAAATAAAGAAGTGAGAGTTACAGTCCTCAGTTTCATAAAGGAATACTCATACTTTGTTTGCAGACAAAGTGGAGGATGAAATCTCTTTAGAGAAGAAAAGCAAAGAAAAGAGGTATGTAAATGTGTGACTTAAAATAATTGACTCTCATTCAGAGCAATACTTAAATTGAGGTTAAAGAGGCAAAGCACAGCGTGAGATCAATGGATGACAATATCAGCTTATCCCATGCCAATCATGTGTTTTTCTCCTGCTACTCAATCTCAAAGGGCCTCAGTAAGCACAGGAAGAAGGAACACTTGTAAATTCAGTGAGAAACAAGTAGGCAAGTTTAAACAAAAGAATGTCTGTTTAATAATGTACAACAGATCTGCCAAACATCAAAGCACCTGCTGACATTTACAAAGCTTTCACTGATGGAGTGAACATGGCCCCCTCCCCAATGGATTATAAAGCCTCCTCATGGAAAGATTAGCAACACCACAGGAAGCACTGCTGTTGGCATCCATGAACAAGGAAGACCTCTGGAGAGCAGTAGCTGTGAAGAAGCTACATTTGCTGTACCAGTGAGGATACTGAGAAGGAAGAAAAGCAAGAGCAAGAAATTGCTCTGAAGGAAGATCTGCCTTCATCTGAATCATCTCAGATGACTGAAGAAGGGCCATGGCCAGCCGCTGCTTTTCCCATGCCACCAGAGGCCAGAAAGAAGGATCAGAAAATATTGAATAAAGGGGTTCAGAACTCAAAGGTGCTGAGGTGCAGCAGAAAAATCCAGGACCAGTTCCAAAATGAAAGCCTCCCCTGTTTAGAAAATTTGCAGAGTAGATATATTAGAAATGTAGTTTGTGATCAAAAGACTCTTCTTAATTTCATTTCCAGCTCTTTTACTTACAAGGGTTATCTAGGGGGAGAAAGGAGAAACAAATGACGACTACTTATAGTACGAACATTTTATTAATTCCAAAGGATTCCATCAACTTGGTTTTGGCCTTATGAGATAGAAGCAGCATTTACAATTATTTTTCAAAGAACACAGTTTGCATATGTTGTTTTGCAATTTAACCTAAATATACAGTTTTGTATGAAGTATAATAGATCACTCCAAAAAAAGAAACTTTTGAGTGATTTACAATTACATTGCATTAATGGCTTTCACAGTTTACAGGCATTTTTGTACCGCTATTAATGAAGGTCTTGCAACTAAATGGATACTTATAAATCTATTTTTTCCTGGATACTTGTTAATTACCTAGAAGTCAACAAGTTATCTTTAAATCTGATAAAGAAAAGATATATTTGCAAAGAAAAGATGCTAAAGAAAACATTGAAATTAGAAAACCAAATGCTCAAATGTTTGTTGTTGTTGCTACGATGTTTCATTTTTTAGTTTTACAAAAACACCACTGATGTCTCTTGGTTCCCCAAAGTCCACAGGATAAAAGCCAAATACCTATGAAGTACCTAACAGGCCTTTTGCCTATCTTTCCCATAGCCACTCCTGGTCTTCATGTAGTTGCCCCAGACCCCAAATGCTCCGGTCACTTTGTTCACACTGTTGCCTCTGTAATGACTCTTCTGCAGTTAATCGGCCCAGCATATTTTTATTTTCTTTTCAAAACTGGCTCAAAAGGTACTACCTTTTCAATGCCTTTCAATTCTTTCCCAGGAAGACTGTCTCCTCATTTCCATGGCAACTTCTCACATCTGTTTCATCACACTTGCATTATAAATATGTCTGCCACTAATATCTGTCAGCTTTTTAACCTCCGAGCCTAAGATGGACGTTGCCATATCGTTGTTGTCTCAGTAAAAGTTTCATAAATAAAAAGAAATGGAAAACAAAGCTTTGGCATCAAAAGACTTGGGGTTAATACAGGAGCAATTCAAAGGGCTTTCGCTGTCCAAACTAAAAGTAGCTGCTTGGAATTATTTGTCAGCATTGCAACTGGATGGCAAAGGAACAAGACTGAGAAGTCCAGGACTAGAAGGAGAAAAGTGAGGCTCTGAAGGATACAATGGGTCACTTAAAAAGGAGACATTGCTGATGAATGGTGGAGGGAGATTCTTGAATCTCCAGGCTTGGAACATCCAGCCCGGTTCTCTTTATGTACACACCTTCACATGGCATTCAAGGTTGTCCATAAGCTGGGGTTCAATCTTGCATTTCATGCTTTGCATTCCACTACATTCTTTCATGTGTGAGGATGTTCTCCACAAACAGAATTCCTTTCTCTCACAAAGGATGCCCTTCTCTCCTTAGCTTCCATGCCATTGTTTCCAGGGTTTCCTGCCTCCACTCAAAACGAAGAACAACTGCTGCCATCCTCATTCCCCACCTGAATTTAAGTGCCTCCTCCCCTATACCCACCTCTCATTTTTTTTTTTTTGTATCACCATTCTTATAACAGTTGCTAGACAGGTTTAGCACCAACCAGATGGCTAGGCTTAGGGATTAAGAAGCCCAAGCAGAAAAAAAAGGTAAATCAGGGACTGTGGAGGCACAGTAAGGAGGCCCGTGGTCCAGAAAGGGAGCAGTGGTAGTTCAAAGGTCAAAGAGGGAGGCCATCATCTCTGGCTGGCTCATGCACTGTTGGATGCTCTCCCTCTGAGCAGAGGCCAAGGCACGAGTCTCCTCCCAAAAGCGGTTGTGTCCTTCCTCAGTGAGTCCCCAGAGGCAAGCTCGAGGTCTTCTTGTTGTGGCCCCATCCTCAGAACATACCGGCAACTTCTTAAAGCTGCCCAGGAAGCAGAGGTCATGGCGAAGTGTGCTCTTCCAGCCGTCTGAAGCTGTCCGGAAGTAGGGGAAATGCTGTCGAATGAAACTGTAGATCTCCTGCACATTAAGGCCACAGTGGGGGCTGTTTTTTAATGCGAGGACAATTAAGTGGCTGTAATTGAGAGGGGGCCTCAACCAGGTTTTTCTCTTCTGGACTTTGACTTGTGATAGCTTTTGGCTCTGAAAGTGCTTCCTTGTGTTATGAGACTGGAGGTCCACAGAAGAGTTGTTTTCTTGTTTCCTAGCCACTTCTTCTGTGAGGTTAAAATCACTGGAGGAAGGGGTGACCAGCTTCTGCAAAGGAGACTGCTCACTGGAAGAAGATGGCAGGGAATCCACTACTGTGGCCTCTGAGGAGCTAAACTCTTCTGTTTTTAAGGGAGGTAGTAGGGAAGGTAGCATTCTTGTCAGAGCCTTCTTTTTACTGGGCTCTGGGGCCTTCTGGCTGCCATGGGGGCACACAATGTTGGGGTTCACCCACATCCACAGGTTGGGTTCACACTGAGGACCATCATTGTCTGGACTGGGTCTCTTCTCCTGAGGAACCTCTGGGTGCTTCATTGTTTGCATTCTGTATTTGACAAGGTTCTGCTCAGCTAAGGGGAGCTGGTCTGTGGTGCAAGTCAGGAAGAACTCATTCTCCATGTCCCAGTCCAGCAGCCCGGGGACCTGGCCATGGAGACTGTACCAAAATTCACGATCTTTTAGATTCATGTCCATCTTCAATGGAGAGATAGGTAGAGGGAGACTTCCAAAATAACACAAGTCTCTCAGGCACTTCGCAAAGTTTTTGCTGGGGCACTGCTGTTAAGTTTATCAGTTGAGATCTCACTCTGACACCAAGGCTGGAGCGCAGTGGCACGATTATGGCTCACAGCAGCCTCGACCTCCTGGGCTCAGGTGATCCTTAGGTCTACTAGAAAAAGAGGTACCAATGCCTCACTGATTAGTGGTCAGACTTGGAGAGACCTCAGCATTCTAGAACAAAACACAAAATGAGGAAGAAATGAAAAAGAGCTTTTTGAAATCAGGGATATCCAATGAGGAAAAGAGGAAGTCAAGATATCCCTCTTTGCAGATGACATGATTCTTACCTCAAAAACCAAAGAGAATCTGTCAAAGACCTCCTTGTATTGACAAAGGACTTTGGCAAAATCTCAGGGCATAAAATGAATGTGCAAAAGACAGTCGCATTCCTATACACCAACAATAAAGAAACAGAAACCCCCCAAAAAGCACAATCCACTTCACAATATCCACACAAAAAATGATATACCTTGGCATCTCACTAACCAGAGAAGTGAAGGATCTTTACAATGAAAACTACAAAACACTGCTCAAAGAAATCAACAATGATACAATCAAATGGAAAAACATTCCATGCTCATGGATTGGAAGGATCAACATTGTTAAGATGTCCATCCTACCCAGGAAAATCTAGATTTAACACAATACCCATTAAATTACCAGCAGCATTCTTCTCAGACCTGGAAAAGACAATACAGGAATTCATATGGAAACATAAAGGACCACGAACTGCCAAAACAATTCTCAGCGAAACAAACAAAGCGGGAGGCATCACATTCTCAGACTTTAAGCTTCATTATAAAGCTACAGTAATCAAAACAGCCTGGTATTGGTACAACAATAGGCATATAGACCAATGGAACAGGATAGAGATTCCAGAGGCAAAACTTCAATTTCTCAACCAACTCATCTTCAACAAAACCTCCACTGCCAACCACTGGGGAGAGGAGAACCTATTCAGTAAATGGTGCTGGGAAAACTGGCTGACCACATGCAGAAAACTAAAACTAGATCCCTACCTATCACCATACACAAAAATCAGCTCTAAATCAATCAGAGAGCTAAACATAAAACCTCAAACTATAGGAACCTAAGAAAATGGAGGAAACACCCTTATGGAAATTGGAAATGGCAACCATTCCTGATCAAAACCCCAAGTGCCCATGCCGTAAGAGATAAGATACACAAATGGGACCTCATCAAACTGACAAGCTTCTGCAAAGCCAAAAAAACCATCAAGAGAGTGGAGAGACAGCCCACAGACTGTAAAAAAATATTTGCCAACTCAACGTGCCAAAAAGAAAAAAACCAACAGCCCCATTACAAAGTGGGCAAAAGATACAAATATACACACTTCTCAAAAGAAGTCATTCATATGAGCAGCCAACAGATACATGAAAAAATGCTCAGGCACACTAATCGTCAATGAAATGGAAATTAAAAGCGCACCGAGATACCACCTAACTCCTGCCAGGATGTCCATCATCAATAATGCAAAAACAACAGATGCTGGTGAGGATGCAGGGAAACAGAAATACTTCTACATTGTTGGTGGGAGGGTAAACTAGTACAACCGCTGTGGAAAACAGTTTGGCAATTCCTAAAAGATCTAAAAATTGACCCTCCACACAATCCTGCAATCCCATACTGGGCATATACCCAGAGGAACTCTAATCATTCTATGAAAAACATACCTGCACATGCATGTTTATTGCAACATTGTTCACAATTGTAAAAACACGGAAGCAACCATGCTGCCCACAGAAAGAGGACTGGATAAAAAAAGTGGTACATATACATGATGGAATATTATGCAGCCATAAAGAAGGACAAAATTATAAACTTCGCAGCAACTTGGACAGACTCAGAGTCTATAATACTGAGAGATCTATTACAGAAACAGAGAACGGAGTATCACATGTTCTCACTCATAAGCGGATCTTGAACAGCTATCGTAATACTATAAGAAAGGGATTGGCAGTAGTGGAAACTGTCGGGGAGGGGGCACACCTCATCCACAAGAGTACCTGCATAATGAACATTTATATACCTAACCTGAATTGTACCCCACATCTTCAAAATTAAATATTCAAAAAAGAAACAACAGCTAGATAAGAAAATTGCCCAACACGTTGTATATAAGTGCACTGAAAGTGATAAGTACCTAAGAATAACTAATAATTTATAAAACTTTATTAGCAAGCATTAATGAAGACTTAAATAAATGGAGAGATATCACCATGTTGGTGGATTGAGATTTATGGTTGAATGTCCAATTGCTGCAAACTCATCTATAAATTAAATGTAATCACAATAAAAATTTCAACAATTCCAACAAACAAACAAACAACTTTTTACCAGGAAAAAAGTAAAAGGTGGAAATCCTGAGCTTGCTTTGTAAGCAGGACATCCCCACATGAAGACCTACAAACCTTAAATTATGTGCAAACTAACGTGTCTTGCATAAAAGGTGATCACCTGGCATATCTTTCAACTCTCGCCAGGTTCATTTAATGAACGGACAAACATGTACAGATCACATTATATTTTTGAGTCTTTCTTAAAAGGTTTTAAAAATTATTTCATTTTTTAAAGTGCCTTTGGACTTCCATCAAGTGCTTTCATGTAGATGATCTCAACTGATTTTCCTGACCGCCCTGCAAGATAACATGGCGCTACTAAACCATGTCACAGGTACAGGAATTGAGAGCTAC